ATACTAAATGCAACTTTTTCAGCGGGTAAAAATAATTAAATTAAATTGATTAGTAAATTAAAACAAATTCAAAAAAACAGTTTAAAATTGGATAATATGCATTTAAAAAAATCAGTTTTTGGTTGTTACATTCCTCTAATTCTGAGCCAACGATATACGAGTAATGAAGATCCGAATCGTTACACATACAGCGGCTGTCGAAAACGTTATCATAAGCGTAGCCATCAGTCAAGCAAGTGGCCATGCCCTCCAACTATTGACCGTATTTTTAAATATGTTTTATTATAATTGTTTCATATTTTCGTATATATGTCGTAGACCGTATGGAAAATTAGTCTTTTTGTTAAAAGACTAGGCTCTTTGCAATGAGGTAGCCCGTTTGCGAACTACTTATTATTTTTCTAAACGGCTTACTGTTTTTCAGACTTATTGCATACAGACTAACAGTAGTTAGGCCTTTTAAAAACTACAATCGTTATAATATGGTAACAACCATTTTACTTATTCTATTTTATGGGTGATTATTACTTTTATTATTTTATTATTATATTACTTTCACAAAAAAATAAGATCAATAGAATTGTTAACTGAATAAGTATATATTATTATATAGTGTTATATTTTTTCTATCTTTTTGTAAAATAAAACTAGTAATATAATAGTCAAAATCTTTAAAATAATCTAAATTTCACTGATTCTCACCATTTATACAGTTAATCAAATAAATATAATACTATATAATAAGTACCATACTTATTTAGACTATTCAGCAGTTTACATGTTATAATAATTCTATTGATCTTTTTTTTTTTTTTGTAAAAGTAATAAATTACCCTTAAAATAAAATAAGTAATATAGCTATTACTATAATTTAATGATTGTAGTTCTTAAAAGGCCTAACTGCTGTTAGTCTATATGCAATAAGCCTGAATAACAGTAGACCATTTGGAAAAATAATAAGTAGATCGCAAACGGGCTACCCCATTGCAAAGAGCCTATAAGACTAATTTTCCACATGGCCTACGACATATATACGTATGTTACTTTGTGGTAAATGTGGTTTAATTTCATATTATATTGATCCAGTAAATAGCAGATTTATTTTTAAATGTAATTAGGGGGATTGGATACCGAAAGTATTTCCTTTTTTGGTCTAATAGGTACATACTCAGCATAGAAATTTTGACTACTTTTCTGGCAATCAATCCGATCAATTATTTGAAACGATAAGAATTCGAAGAACAGATTTGAATTCAGCGTAAAGTTTTTATGAGATCGGTAAAGTCACTTTTTCAATTTTTTATTTTTTCATTAATTTTTAAATATTAAAACCCAAATTTTTGAAAATTAACAACTAAAATTTAAAAAAAGTGACTTGAACGATCTCATCTAAACTTCATACTGACTTAAATCAGTTTTCAGAATTCATATCGATTTTCATTACATGGATCCGCTGAATGGATCAGCCGGACAATTGATCGAATTGCTATGCTGCGTATGTGTTAGGCAAAGAAAGAAAATATTGATATTCAATTGCCTTAAGAAAATTCAGGTGTACAAAAATAAACCTGTAATTTTGGATTTTTTTTTTGTTCCTCTCTCCCCATCGGAAAATCCCGGCTACGTCACTGTGAGATACTTATATTTATTTTATTTGTATAAGAATTTCGTTATTCATTTCGACATTTGTATACCTCTGAAAAATAAATATAGAAAAGTTACATTGTATTCAAATTCTTTATCGTTAAATATAAATTTAAATATTTAATTACCAAATTACATGTAATGAAGATAACAATATTATGGATTTATGGACATATAAACAATATTATTCGAGATTTCATCTCGTGGCATTACGGATTTCATTGTTTTTCGCATTTTTAATCTAGTTGGTGGTTAAGAAAGTCGTTTTTGATTTTTATAGTAATTATTTTTATTAATTGAGCGAAACCAAACAAAAATGTAGAGATAACGGGGAACTGTACGATAATAATAATGTTTTTATTATTTTCAATTTTTTTAGTTTTTGTAATTCAGTTAGAAATATTCGTAAAAACTTGAAATTTTGACAGAAAACTTATATTTGATATTCTCAAACCATTTAAGCCATTTGTAATTTATTTATAGACATTTTAATGTTATAAGTTTTTTATGTAATTTTTATTTGGTAGGTACTCTGTGGATAAAATTATTTGACTAAACAGAAATACTTAAAAATTGACAAAGTTGGTTCATTATAAGTCGTACTTCTAGGTCAAAAAAAAATAAAAATGTATTGTGATGTAGAATTTTTATTTTTTTTATAACTATTACTGCTTTTTAAAACATGTTAACCGAACTTTGCTCCAAATCGTTTTTCGTTTGGTTATAATGTTTTGTTGTTAGTTTCAGATGTAAATTAAATAACTGTTTGTATCTATAAACTTCCCAACTATCCACCTATAAAAATGGCCGCACCCGGGCCCAGTATCAGCTCATTTTAATATTTTACCTAAATAAATTTAATATTTACTATTAAATATTATAACCAAAATATATTTGACGAATATTATTCGTATCATATATAATATGATACGAATAATATTATTATAAACGTTGTTTATGCATACATCATACAAATATACCTACAGTCATTTTAGATAGACTTCGATTTTTTTTTTCGATAGAAGGTAGAATACCTATAATAATAAATATATATATTTATACTGCAGCAATGGAGATGTCACGGTACAGAAAGAAAAAAACAAATCGTAACTCGAAATTACACGGCCGGGCATTATTATTATATTGTTCGGTAAAAAAAAAAAAAATAATAAAAAAATAAAAAGAACCGAGATTATTTATACATCGGTATATACTCGTACTATTATAATATGTATACCTATACCATCATTGTCGTATTCGATTTGTATATTATACAATGTATGATATGTACCTATATTATAGGTATACATAATATTAATAATGTCACAAATTCAATACTGAACGTTAAAAATTCATTTTTTTTACTATTATTATTTATATATAGTTAGGTACCTATACTGCGTAAGGGCTTACCTGCCTATATAATAATACTGTATGAATACAGTAACGAAAGGTAATCGGAAGCAAAGAAATACTCCCAAACGCGCACCTGTTAATCAGTGGGATTGCACTCGTGGGAAAAAAGGTCCGTGAGAATTCCGCTCGGTACGATATTCAACGGTGGCACATCGAAATTTCCGAGTGAATTGAACTGGTTTCCCACGGTCAATATAATATTATATACATTTTTTTTTTATGTTTATTTTTGAAAACTAAGACTTTTTTACTTAAACCATTACTATTATTCGTTTGTTATACTATTATTATATATTCGTGTATAAGTACTTACATTACATAGGTATACATTTCCTATATTATATTATATATAAATGGCTAACATTAAAGGTTTCACTCAAAAATCACTGGCCTTATAATATTATAGACGTTTAATAAATTCGGATTACTATTAATCTACTAAACGTAATTAATTTAAAACGCAAATATAGGTGTTAATTTTCATTAAAAAAAAAATAATATTGTATAATTTAATATATATACCTATACTTGCCAGTGGCTACATAACATTTTTATTTCTACAAATTATAATAAATTTCAATCGCGTTAGTGATAACTATTGTATATAATTCATAATATGTGGTATGTATACCTGCAAAATGTTCTAAGCTTGCGAGATATTTTTTCGTTGTGAATTATACTAGGAAATTCGTTTCGTTCTGCAAAGAACTTATTTCTCATTCTTAAAAACGGTACTCGTTCATCGTTCCTGTTCCTCGTTACTTAATAAAGGAACTCTTTTTAAGAATTGTTTTTATTTTTTTATTAATACCCAGTGCAAAGTCTAAACTAATATTTTTACGTGCTTAATTTGAAAAACCAATAATTAATTTGCTTTGAAAATACAGACATACATACGACAGTTATGCCAATACTAAATCATTTCTTTGAAATATTAATAATATTATGTACGGTAAATTGAAAAATTTAAGAAAAAAGAGTAACGAAGATTTGCGTTCACGTTCCTTATAAATAGGCACCCTTTACCGCACCTCGTTCCTTTATTTCAAAACTATAACGCGTTCCAGTCACCGTCCCTAAAAAAATAATATTGTAAATTTTTAATATATTCCTCTTTTTTTTTCAAAACTAAAAATAATTAATTTAATATTAATTAATATTTTATACATTATATAATAACATTAAATAGATTAAAATATATTATTATTTAGAATGCTTGCATTTAGTTATTCATACATTTTTATACCCATCATCAGTTAAAATGGTTTCTTTGTATATTATTATTAGTACAAAACGTTTTCAAATAGTTAAATTTATATTAACTTTTAATGTATCCAATTTATCACTAAAACTAAAGTAGGTAATTAAACTCATTTATCTCGTAAACTTTTGAACGAGTATATGCAATCAACATCAACTTAATACAATTTAATGTCTATTAAATATTTTAATGTCACTTCTACAAAATTCTTGTTTAAATTAACTATGTAAATATTTTATTATAACACATAGTTTTGATAAAAACTAAAGACATTATACGTGTGAAAAAACTGAAAATATTATTTAATTACGTGACATAAATATATATTTATTTTTAGATACAATTCGTTCGAAAGAATTATTCAACGATGTAATTTACTAAAAAAAATTAATTTTAAAATTATTTTTTTGGAAAAAAAAATATGATAGGTAAAAGAACCAATAGGTTAATAATTAATAGGTATACTCAGGGATTAATTTAAAGAAACAGAGGCTTTGTGCATTACTTACTTTGGGGCCCTATTTAAATTTAAAAAAATAAGTAAAAATTAAAAACAAAACAAATCTATATCTTAAATTAAGTTAATTTCTATAAAAAAAATTTTTTTTTTTTTTTGTAATCTTTTTTGTAAGTTTAGCAATCGTATATCTTCTTCTTCTTCTTTCTGGTTAAATGCCTTTCAAGACCATCCCATCTCACACCCGTTCCTCCATTCTTCTCTATCCATTGCTCTTTCTTTCCAATTCGTTCTTCCTCCTAGCGATTGTACATCCTTTTTAACTAAGTCTTCCCATCTTGTTTTGGGTCTTCCCAATGGTCTTTTTCCTCGCGGGTTTTGTTTTAATACTGCTCTAATTAGCTCATTTTGGCTCCTCCAAGCGTGGCCTGCCCATTGGAGTCTTCGTTTTTTTATCACTTCTGTTATGGTTGTATTTTGGAATAATATTTCTAACTCTGTATTTTTTCTCCTTCTCCATTCACCGCTGTTGTTATCCTTAACTGGTCCATAGATTTTCCTCAATATCTTTCTTTCCATTATTAAAAATTTATTTTCGTCAGATTTTCTTCATATATCTACCAAATATAAAGTATACTATTTTTTTTTTTTATAGAGTGGGAAAGGATCCTTAGGATCTGGGGGCCCTATACTTTTGTACCACGAGCACGTGCGTGTGCTTTAGTATATTCATGTATAGTTAAATTGAATTAATTATTCAGCCCAATCAAATGTTGATTAAGCACAGTATAATATAGTTTTTTTACTTGACAAACTTCATTACTGTGCCTAACCTTGACGAATTGTAATTTAATATCCTACACACAGCATTATATTAGTATGAACACAGTATTATTGGAAACAGTAGCGCACCCAGGGGGGACGAATTTAATCTTTTATTTTTTTTTATTCTAGAACTTAACAAAATGTCTACTTGGAAAGATGTTGAGACTTCTGTTCTTAGGTTTAATCAATTTAGTTCCTCTGTCCATCAAGTTAAGTTTCAAATAGCCTTGTTTATATAAGTATTTGAATAATTATCTTCAAACCGACAATTTATAGATTAAGAATCTGTTCTACAATTTGTTGATACGACTCAATCGACTGTAAAATAAATCCGCAAATTTCTAATGATGAGTTTAACGATGTACAGTGAAACTTCCTCTAACAGACACCTCCCAATAGTAGACGTTTTTTTGGGAAAGTAGACATTTTCACTACTTTTTAATGGGTAAACCTCCTAATAGGTGACACTATTTTAATCTTATTTCCAAAATAATAACATAATGACGGTACTAATACGTATCCATATTCGTATATTCCTACTTCGTAATAATGTCAACAATACATTTCGAAAATAAATCTTGTTCCGATGTACAGAGTGAAACATCTTTTCTGAAAGGAAATTGTATTTAGTTAGTACAATACAGAGGTCATTTTTTGATTTTCCAAGTAGTTTTCATAATAATTGATAAAAACGAGGGGAAAAAATGAAAACTTACAAATTTATAGCGTTACGATTTCTTTATTTTAAATTTTTACGCATTATATTTTCTACCAGACATATTGCGTCAATAGAAAACCAACAATTGATTTTTTTAGTTGAATTTTTAATCTTGTTGGTGTATATAAAATTAGTTTTTTTTATTTTCCTTGTAGTTTTTTTCAACAATTAAGCAAAACTGAAAAGAAAAATGTAGAAAATATGGAACAATTTACGAAAATAATTCTTTATTATTTTCAATTTTGTTTTTTCGTTAAAAATATTCGTGGTTTAAAATTTTGACAGAAAACTTATTTTTGCTTTTCTTAAATGTGGTAAAATTCTTGAGCTATTTCTAAACATTTTAATTTTGCTAGTTTTTACGTAATTTTTATTTGGTAGGATACCAAAAAGTACCTAAAAAATTGGATAAAAAGTGGATAGAATTGAAAAGCTAAACAGAGTTGCTCGATAATTTTACAAGAGGTTCATAATGAATTGTACTTAGTGTCCAAAAAAAAAAAATTGAGTACATTGTAGTATTTTTATGTTATAATAGTTTTTAACTAAAATTTTGACAACAATCGTAAATATTACGACCTTTTAAAACATGTATAACCGAACTTTGCTTAGAATTGTTTTTCATTAGCAATGATTAATCGTTGCCCAAAGATATACAGTAAATTCCCTTCTAAATCCAAGAAATAGTAATAGTAACAGTAAGTTGCTACACGAGAGTAGTTAGACAAAAAATTACATAGGTACGTTAATTCCTACCAATGTTATGTGTAAGTTTCTACACTATACAAATAGGTACGTAAATATGATCTACCCTAATCGTATTGATTAGATATAACTAGACAATTTTCATTCAGAAAAGATGTTACACTTAAAAATTGTAGCAAGATTTCTAAAAGAAAATTTGTTAAAGATAAAAAAAAAAATAAAAATAAAAAAATAAACACTATTGTAGAACTAATACATTCCTTACTCTATTCAGAATCTGAAATAATAGGGATAAAATTATTTAGAAAAAAAAAGACGGACATACTTCCCACGATAGATGGGCCACTGTTACACGTGAGAAGTTCAAAAGGTAGAGGGGAAATTTAATGTATGTCTGATGCAATCTGAAAAATTATTATGAGCGGAGTTCGGTTAATAGTGTTGTTTTGTCAACAATATATAAAATATATCATTATGGTAAAATAACTATAATTGCATTATATATTTTCTTTAATAATATCTGTTTAATATTGTACCTATTATCCCATTTTTTCTACGTTTTTCTCGGTTTTTCCAATTTATTATGAAAACAGTTGATAAAATCAAAAAATTACTTCCTCAAAGTACCACTCCAGTCAGATTTCTTTTCATAAAAAGTGCTATAATTGAAAAACGGTGCGAAATTTCTGATAGAAAAGATGTTCACAGAAAAAAATAAAACAAAAATAAACATCATTGTAAAATCAATACATTCCCGCTCCGCTCAGAATCTAATTTGCCAAAAATTTACCAAAACTCTTCTTCTCTGAGACCGAAAACATACTACACTAGTTGAACTTTTTGTACCTATAGGCTATTATTATATTCTCACTGATAATATAAATTACTTATACAACTGCTAATATGTATATTTAAATTTATACACAAAAATAACAATTCTCGCCACATACAAAATTTTTACAATATATCACGATCGTATATTTGAGAGATTATATCTATAGCCGGCTCTCATTTAAATTATATACATTTGTAACAAGACGATCCGATCGTATAATATAATATACGTGCCTATTGCAGGAATACCTACTCATATATTTATATGATATAGGGCGGGGCTTGACACGACTGACTAAACACACAGCAGCTTAAGAATAAAGCTTGTAATATTATGAACGTCACGTCACAGTTAAAAATGATTTATCGCAGTATTTTTGCATCGTTATTTTTTTTTCAACTAGATATATATTTAGATTAACAAAAAAAAGCACATTATAATATATTTTTCAACTAAATATACAGGTATTGGATAAAAATTACGTTAAATTGTACATAGTAACTACTACATATAATCTAATTATATGAGTACTATTAGTACTAGGCATACAATTTGTGAAACCCGTGTGTACATCCAATATGGTTAGGTTACTACTAATAATACTAACAATAGTAGTAAATAATAAAAAACTTGACATTTATCACTGTTTTAGGTGAGGAGGTATAGGTATATAGAGTATTTAATTTAATAAAAGCAATAAGAAATCATTAATTACGATAAAATAACTGATTCTGATTAGAACTCAGTAAACTGGTAAGGTTATAGTATATCAGTCGTGTTTTTTCTCTGTATAACTAAGGTTACCGGAAATCACCAAACATTTTGGAAATTTAGAAGACATTTTTAAACTAAATACCATGTAGGGTAGAAAATCTACATCTTTTAAGGAATGGTATCAAAATTAGATTATTTTCCTAGCTGAAAAAGTGTTTTCCGAAAACAAATTTGGTGTAAAAAGGCGAAGGGTTTAAACTGATGGGAATTTCGGAAAATATTTTATATNGAAAAAGTGTTTTCCGAAAACAAATTTGGTGTAAAAAGGTGAAGGGTTTAAACTGATGGGAATTTCGGAAAATATTTTATATAAAATACATTAAGAACCTAAAAAAATACCTTAAAATCTAGACTGAAAAATCTCCATTATTATATTATGTATAGAATACATTTTTTAGACAGTTGCAGTTTTTAAAAAGCCATAATCAACACAATAAAGTGCAAGTATTCTAAATAAACACATTTTAGTTTAAGTATTAGATACAATATATTTTTCTTAAAACGTTAATATGTTTTGTCTGTAAGTTCATAATAAGTAGAGAACGGATTTATATTATAAAAATTCATATTTTTATTACAATAAAATATTTAAAATTTGATAAGGAATGTTCATGAATTAAATCATTCTTATTAAAATAATGCCAATTTTATTTTATATATTTTGGTATAGTTACATATTTTTACGTATTTCACTAATTTGTAAATATTTTTTAACATATTTTGTCGTTTCATCATTTATATGTTTTAAAGCCACGTTGCAGTGAACGAAAACCGCCATTTATCGGTGTATGTCGTGATTTATATTTTTAATTGTTATCTTGCTCATGCTTTCCTACCCTCTTTCCATGCAGTACAATGTAATTACGTCCAAATATTGTATTACAAGGCAGTGTATTAAGGCCGAAATTTTTTTTATAGTTAATAAACGTGTAAAGCAATTGTAAATACAATAAAGGAATTACAGTTAAAATATATTATTAAAAGTTATCAAAAGCTTTAAAATTTGGAAAAACTAATACATATATATCGATTTTGTTATAAATATGGTCACATGACGTGACTCACATCATCTATACTTTTTATCTAAATATTACCACTGTGTAAGAATTTACAGTCTATAAATTACGATTTAACCGAAGCAATGTTGATACTGTGTTACACGATATACATATGATATGATATGATATGCGGAGTAGTATGAATATAATATTTTCCGAGATTTCTGAATAAGCAAAAGATCTCATAAAATCAGTTGAAGAAGAAGATAAAAAAATACTAAGAATCTGTTTAAATCAAAATCATCGAATAAATGTCGTTACTCATTCACTTGAAGAATATCACCACATAACAATAGCTATTCCTTTTTTCAACGAATTCATTGAACAACTTCAAGCAAGGTTTAATAATCATAAAAAACAAATTTCTTCACTGCACAAGTTGTTACCAAAAATATGCAACAAATTTGAAATGGAGACAGACGAATTTGAAATGTATTTTGAATTCCTGGATTCGGAAGAACTGTCAACAGAAATTCAACTGTGGACAGTGGACTATCAAACTAGATAAAGATCGTTCAAATTCGGCTATTGAAACATATTATTAATTAATACAACTCTGAATTTTTTCCCAAACATATCTTTTATTTTTAAATTATTAGCTGTATTGCTAGTTTCGACTTCTATGTCAGAACCCACATTCTCAAGAATAAAAAGATTAAAAAATTATTTACGTAACTTCATCATCATACAGGTTTAGCTCTTTTGAGTGTGCACAGGCAAATTAAAATCGAACCGGATGATGTTATTGATCTTTTCAGCGAAGAAAAAAGCGACTACTAGATTTTGTGCTGAAAAATATTCTTTAAAATAATAATTTTATATAATATAGATTTCCTTTTAAATATTATAAAAAAATCATAATGTATTAATATAATAAAAAGTCCGTTTTTTTACTAAAACCAAATTTTGCTCCGAATGATTTTTCATTATCAATGGTTTATCGTTGGTTACAGATATAAATTAAATAATTTTATGTATCCCACCTTCCCCAAATCCCACCAACAATAGTGGCCGCGTCCGTCCCTAGTATCAGCTCTTTTTTATAATTATAATTAATGTATTTTTCCATAAATGTATTTATATACTTATTCAGAAATCGGAGGTTTTTTCCTGATGCTAAGATTTATATTTTATACATTTTACTTCCATATTTTTGTATTTTTATTGCATATATATATAAGTTCCTTAATTATAAGTAAAGTAAGCAGGTGTCTATTTATGTATAATATTATATGGCTACACTTATAGGAGTACCTGCGGCTGAAGGGTGACTCTTATTAAGACCTTATTCTCAAGTCCTTATAACCATATATACGTATACCACATCGTATTTGAATGGATTATATTTTTTCGAAATAAAAAAGTCCCGTTTAACTTCAATAATTCATCGGACTTCACTCTAAAATAATACCAACTGTACTGTAATAATAAATAATATAACTCTGCTATTAAATTGTTAATAGTAGGCAAGTTCGCCGTCATATCAATGTAATATAATATACTTGATGGTTAAATTGACATGATAACAATATTTTATTTATAGTTTAACTTTTAATTGCGTACACAGTGTATAATATATATCATATTATTATTATTATTTATATACACGTAACACGTACATTGAATAGTTGAAGAGCAATTGGGTCAATTGATTGATTACATGATAAATACCCTTTATTATGTCATATACATATCAAATTAATTCTCATATCCCTAAAAAATCCCTTATTAATAAAAGTGTTTGATTATTAATAAAAATTAAGGCACCACCCCCCTGAATTTACATCTTCGGGTGTACTTGAATGTATATATATATTATATGCAAAATTTGTTTGCTTCCTCCCCCTTGAAGCTTGTTATGAACCACCCTCGAAGTATATCTAATTTGTCACTGCTTATTGGTCTAAAACGTAATGTGGTTCGTCCATCTTAAAAATATGTGTTTAGGGATAAAACATAAATCAGAATTCAAGGAAATTTTTAAAAAATGTAGCATTTTTATGAATAAATATCTAGCTTTTTTTTTTTTTTTATTTATAATTAATAATACTTTATTTATAAATGTTTTAGTTATTATATTTTAGATCAGAACGGAACAAGGAATGTATTGGTTTTATAATGATTTTTATTTTTAATATTTTTTTCTGTGAACACTTTTTTACCAGAAAATTTGCTCCAATTTTCAAGTGTAGTACTTTTTCTGAAAGGAAATCTGACTGGAGTGGTAATACTTTATAGAGTGGCCATTTTTTGATTTTCCAATGAAAACCCAGAGATTTTCATAATAAATACGAAATACCAGGTAAAAACAAGAAAACGTATGAAATGTATTATTTTTAAATCGTAAATATTACGACCTTTCATAGGCACAACTAGGAGGGGGGGTGCTACGGGGTCTTTAGCACCCCCAAAAATACCCAATACGCTTTTTCATAGTATCAAATAAATATTTTATCCATGCATTTCATAATTAATAAGCAGAATAAAATATAGATAACAACATATGTGTATACATAAAAATAAAGTTAAAAAGTTATGACACATTTTTATATAAATGAATCAACAATTAATATTAAAATATAAATGTATAATAATAATAAATATTTAAAAAAGTGTTGGATGGGATGTTCAACGACACTGAAAGTACCCGGAGAGAGGGGAATGCTCATTTACCCTGTTTGTAGGCAAACAAATATGCACTAATATTAATATTTCAATATGCATTATTATTATTGTTATTTCATTTGGCATAGTTACATTAATATAGGTAATACGACGTTTCATTGAGGTATATTAAAATATATCTAGGTAAAAGGTACCCACCTAATATATTAAGTACCTACCTAACTTTAATTCGTTTGTAGGTATCAATTCAAATAATTTTACCTATTTTAAACATTTACATACAATTAAACCAGACTACAAGTAAATTATCTTTCTTTTCCTGCAGAAAATGATGAATACGGTGGTAAGTAGCGTAATATGTGATTTTTCGACCACTATTGTTGACGGGAGTGTGTAAAAAACTGAAAATTTAAATGAAAAATATTGGAGTCGATAGTAAAATTTCATCCGAAAATTACAGCTGATCCACAACTGATTTATAACCTAACCATACGTATGATAATATATATATGTGTTAAAGAGATAAGGTTAGAATTTCCAAAAAAACGATAACACGTGATAAGAAATAAACAAAAAGAACAGAAATTTCATACACATTATTTTAAAATGAAAAACATTACTATTAGTTTCTTATCTTTATTGCAAATTGCAGTTAAATTTTTGAAAACCTAGTGAAGATGGTTCGTTAATTCGTCTGTTCATTGACCCAGTTCATGGTCAATACCACGTTTGGGTTACCATATCAATTATTATCAAAGAGTTTAGTTATTCCAACATACATAGTACACACACACACACACACACACACACACACACACACATATACACACACACGCAAACAAGAGAACAAGCGTCGTAGATCCTATTGTACTAATACTTATAATATTATTATTATGTTTAATAGTTCTAGTATTATATTATTAATATAGGCAAGTGAATTTTGTTGTAGTGCTTTAAACTAAATTATTGTTTAAATTAAAATCATTACATCATGGGAGTTCAAGGTTTATGGAGTTTATTGGAATCGACTGGAAAACCTATTCCTGTTGAAAAGTTGAAGAATAAAGTCCTGAGCATCGGTATCCTTTTTAAACAATAATTGGTATTTTAGTTTAGTCAATTAATTATATATTATTCATTTTCATAATCAATTTGGCAGAGTAATTTTGTAATTAGTGCTTTTATTATATTCTCGAATTAGGTAGGTACCTATATTTAAAATAACATATATTTACAAATTCTAATATATGTGTATACCTACTCTATTTCCTAACTTACATTTAAGTTAAATATTATATTACATTTGACCCCCAATCAATTAGTTCACTTTTAAATGTATTGGATTATTTCCATATGGTATAAATTGAAACAACATAACCACCATTCATAAAAATAATATCAAATTTTATAAATTTACTTATATTTTATTGCAATAAAATACCTAAGTTTAGTTAATTAAATGTCAGCTTATAATATGTAATTTATTTATAACTTAGGTTATTAAATATTTAACAGTAATTTTCCGTGCATACTATTTATTAATTATTATTGTTTATTTATGAAGCACATTCATAGTCAATGCAACTACCTATAAATTAGTAAATTTACCTATTTGCTTGATAATACAGTATAATAATATGGCTTAAAGTTTGCAACTTTTAAGTATTTATGTTAGTATAGTAGTATACTTACGATTGCTTACCTATAACTAGGATTAGATTTAAAAGTAAAATATTAACTCGCAATCTTGTTTTGGAGATCTTCAAATTTAAATTAAGATCTTTCAAAAATATTTATTATCAAGTTTACTGTACCTGATTTAATTAATTATTATAATAATCGTGTTAAAATAAATAAACTATAGTTTCTAAGACAGATAGTAAAATAGTAGCATTAATTGATCAACTCTCTTATAATCCAAACAACACATTTAAGGCACGTTGCCTAAACAGTAATGGTGAGCCAATATGACTTTTCTGATAGTCGATATTCAAATATTTGCTACTGACCCAATATTTTTTTAAAACCATGAGTCAATATTTAAATTATCTTTAATTAAAAAATCCGATATCTGATTTTCACTTATATAATTTAAATATATATATTATATACAACATATTATATGAATTAAGTAACATGTTTATTAAACTGAGCACCTTTTATTCCAAAAAATATCTGGTTTGAAAAGATACCGATAACTAATTTTATGATAATGCCAATATCATTGTATTCAATTCATACACAATGGTGGTTCTGATATAATATGGCCATAGTGGAAAAATGTCCACAATAAATATTTTAACAAATATTAACATCTTATTATAAAATACAATTTAATTATTATTACTTGAGTTTTATTAATTTCTGATAAACAAATATGCATAGATAGTGATTAAGGACCACAGGTAGATCAACCTAGATCATCTATTTTTTCTGTGAAAATGTCATTTCTATAATTTTTAACAAGTTCTAAGAATTTTTTTATTTTTATATTTCATTATAAATTACAATAAACAATTAAGAACACAAACAAAACTACCTAATACTACTTAATACCTTATTTTTATGATACACTTAGAATTTTAAATACAATTTGGGTATTTTATTTCTATAAATTTGTTGGTTTATTATTATGCTATTTTATGCTGTATAATTTATTGTAAAACAATAATGAAATTGGTATGATGCCAATAAAAAAAATAGAATCTTTTTCTCCTATATTTTCTTGGTAAATAAATGTATATACATACCTACTTTTAGATTGTGAAAACACTTCCGTGCCTATTGCTGAGTATTATTGACTAAATATGTTATAGGATATATAAGGTACACTCAAATTTGTATTTTCCCATGGTTATATAAGCATGTATTGTTGATTGTATTCAAGATAATAATTATAGAATTAATCGTGGGAATTCCAAACAAGACTGTATGTTTTTATGTAATTAAAAAATAAAAAAGAAACACCTTGCCAAGCTTACCTTAACTTTCACATATTTTCAGTTTAATAAAAAAAAAAAAAAACAGTAACAAATATTTGTTTTAGAATAAATCAAAGTTTGAAAAAATTAATTTTTTGTAATCTATTTGAACAGATCTAAAATAACCACAGACTTTTGGGTTATCTAATAAAACAATATATATTTTATATTAATAATTTTTATATACCTATGGCATAATTTAATATCTATTTTGTCAATAATATAGATATTAGGTATCCATATACGTTAAGTTTTTTTAAGTGATTTATTATAAGTAATTTAATTCTATACTCTATAGGTAATAAGACATAAGTACTTAAAAGGTTATTATTCAATATTCAACCTATAAATCAAGTTTTTTTTCACCTCTAATAATTATTAATTGAACATACTCATTCTTTATAATTTTATCTGTTCTAGAATATTTTATTTCTACACAAAGTCATACTATTTGTTTGGAATAAAAAGTATGAATTGCTTTATATATCATTTATTTAATTTAAATTAAGTAGAAAAACAATACAATTGAAATCTTCTATTATTTTTCAAAAATTGCTTTTTAATTTAATTAATCCTTTTTGTGCAACAAGAAATCTGAAATGATAAGTTATTATAATATGAAATTATCAAATAGAAGGAAACTCTAAATTTAAGAATGGTAACATTTGTTTAAAAAAAACTTTTATCCAAGTTCTTTTGTGGTTTTATTAAACTATTACCATAGATGAATTTATGTGTTTTACATATTAAACTAATAACTTGACAAAATTTTCTGAATGTTAAGTAAGTATTATTATATTTTGACCATTTGAATAGGAATATTTTAAATTATTATACTCCTTTTTAAAAATAAATTTCCTTAATTATATTTATTAAATAGATGTTTCTATATGGTTGTATCAAATAATAAAAGGTGTTCCAGATGGTGAATATGGTACTGTAACCAATAGACATTTAATTGTGATGTTTCATAGAATATGTAAACTGCTGTTTTATGGTATTAAACCTGTATTTGTATTTGATGGTGGTGTACCAGAGCTTAAAAGATTAACTATCGTAAGTATAAAATACCAACTTATTACGTGTATTTATTAACTGGAATATAAAAACCTTTTTCAATTAAAAAACTAAATTTCATTATTTTATTCTATTTTCTATAACTAAGTAGGTATAATAATATTAATTATAAAATACTATGGGGTTTATTTTTTAAATATACATAGATATTTAGTTTAATATATTTTAAATTATTTCAAATATTTAGATCAAATAAAACCAATATTATTATTATACTAAAGTATTCTAATTATTTTTATTTAAATTTTCTATTTTTGGGTATAATTTAAATTATTAAACTTATTTAATGTTTATGATTAATAGTAAAGGTTATTTTACAAATTAAAAACTTAATTGAATTGAATTGAAACTTTTATTTTATTTAAGGAATTTAAATTTAAATAAATAATTAGATATTAAATCTTTTAAAGCATTTTTAATTTTTATATTTTGTGCAAATTAAAAAAGATTTTTTTTTTAAATTAAACAGTTTATTTTCATTTTTATAATGCCAAATATATTGATATTTGTTAATTTATAGTTAGATGAATATTAATAACTTTTATTAGTTATTCAACTTAATTAATATGCAATTATTATTATTGAGATTTACAATTTGGTGGAGTTATTTGTGACTCAGTTAACAAAATATATCCTAGTATTATTATATTATAATTTTCTCATGTAATTTCCTGATATTTTTAACAGTTAGATACTTAAAAAAATAGGGTAGCATAGGTTGCTACTATTTCTAGTTTTGGTAAACACAATCATTTTTTTTTAAAATCCATGAGAAAATTATTACATTTTAACTTGTTTCTAATTCTGTGGGAACAAAAATATATCTAGATAAAAATATGTATAGTAATTTATTTGAGCTATATAATTACTATTTCCTTAATTACCAAGAATTAGCTTTGGTATTGTTTTAGTAGATGTGCTACTTAAAATTTAATTTATAAATAAAAAACTGATTTGATTAAAATCCTTAGAAATACAATATCAATAGATTTCCTTGTTCTTAGTTGGTTTTAATTTGTATTAGAAATCAGTATATCTGTTTTTATTATCAACAATTATTTCAGGTGTGTTTATGTAATAGTCATTTGTTATGTTATTATAAAAATATAATTGTTGATTAAACCACTAAAAAATAATAAAAAATAAAATTATAGGTAATTATCAAACTAGAATGAATTAAATTTTATTAAAATATGTGTATGTAAATCTAATTTGGATTTCTAAGGATTTATAAAAATATATAAAGTCTAATTGTTATTAGATTCCAGCCAAAAGTTAATTAATTTAAAATAAATAAATTAACATATATCGTAAAATTAATTAATTATTTAATTAAAATACTTGTATTATTCTGATATTACATCAACTGTGTTAGAGATTAATAACTAACAATTTGATCATAGTATCTAATCTAAGAAATGAAAATAATAATTTGGAGAAGTAGGTTATTATTAAAATTATCATTACAATTACTTCTACAACAGTACATTTTGGTGTAGGTAAGTTAAGTATAATGAGTATTTATTGTATAAAAAAAATATAATCATTTAAAAACTTAAAATGATAGACATAATTCTCATGATGGGTGGACCACTGTTGTAGATGAGAAGTTAGGAAGGGCGAGGTAAAATTTAATGTTTATCTGTATGCAAAAATTAACCATTGCTAATGAAAAAGATTTCTAAGCTGAATTCAGTTAATAGTGCTCCTTTCAAAACTTAAATATTACAATTCTTATAAAACAAATCCACATTACAATTCATTTTTTTCGACCACAATGAACGACTTATACAAAACTTCCTATTAAATTTTCTAACATTCCTGTTTGGTCTAACAATTTTATCCACAGAGTACCTATAACAAAAATAACAAAAATTATATAAAAAAAATCCTATCCAAAGAATTAAAATGTCTATAAATAACTCAAAAATGGCTACAATATTTTGAAAATTGTATTTAAAAGGAAAATATAAGTTTTCTGTCAAAACTTCAAGTCTACCAATATTTTTAACTGGTATCAAACAAAAAAGTTGAAAAAAAAATAAATTTCGTACATTTTCCCTGTTTTTCCCATGCCGCCCCTCCCCCCGTGTTTCCCATTTATTGGGAAAATTGGAAATTCAAAAAATGACTAATATATCACAAATGAATCACCCCAACAGATTTTCTTTCAAAAAAAGTGCTATCATTGTACATCAAAGCAAAATTTCTGGTAAAAAAGTTGTCCACAAAAAAAAAAAAAAAAAATATATATAATAAACATCATTGTGAAACCAATACTCTATTAAAGAGTAGCTCAATTGCTCTACTCAAGATGTAAAAGTAAAATGTATGAATGTTAGAATATAAAAATTCAAATTTATCAAACTATAAAATATAATTTGATTAAATATATATTATATTATTAATCAATTTTTTAACATTAAAAATTATTAAATTCAAAAGTAAAATTTAAACAATTAACAAATAGTTTTCCATTTGGATTAATAACAAGTCTATGTATTGCTTTATTTTTGGACCACTGTTCTAAGTCTTTATAATATAATCATAAATACAAATTATAAAGTATCTTTAGCTTTTATGTTTTATAAAATTGAATGAGACCGTAGAATTTTGTCTTAGTTATCTCATGATGTTTGTATATCTACCAATATGTCTTAAAACGCATGCCTGTAATCATATTTTAAACTTGGCTGATTTTCATAATCAAACTAATTAACTACAAAAACACATAACTTCAATTGAAAATGATTTATTAATCTAAAGTCTTATTTAATTTACTGGAACACAATTTAATCAATATTACATGTTGTATTTACTAGATATGCAGACATAAATAATAATATAGCACTACATAAAGTTTCCAAAACAATAATCAAATTTTTTATTATCTAATACAGAACAAAACTCACAAAATTTTGTTTTGTTTGTTTTTTTGAAGTTTTAATTGAGAATTACACTTTTAATTCATATAACATTACTATTAATACCTGTATATTGAACCTGTAATACAATATGTGTGCTGTTAAACTATGATAATATATTTTTTTTTTAAATGTAATGGGAATCTACTTAGTTTATTGAGATAGAAAAACATTTGAAATTTATATTTATTTCACAATTTACAACTATATTCTTATTTTGATAATATGTTATCTTTTTACAGTACTATGACTAATAATGATTTATACCAATAATATAATGATGACTTTTAGGCTCGTAGACAAGCTCAAAAAGCCCTTGCCAAAAAAGCATCTGAAAAAATCCAACAAAAAATTGTAAAAAACATGTTAGAACAAGCAGCTTTAAAAACTGTAATGGACAGTGGAAATACTCAAACTGAAGATGAAGTGATCTCACAAACTGTTAAAATGTTGCACAAAGAACCAGAAAATGATTTATTCCAGTTACCCAATTTATCAAAAGACTTGTAAATTAATGGGAATTTAGTTAAAAAATATATTATTTTAAATGTATCATTTGTTTTCTAGTGAAATCAAAACACCTGAAAAAAAACAATCCAATTTTAATTTATCTAAAGAAAAAACTGAAAATATCGTATTACTAGCTGTGAAAAATCAAGAAAAAGATTTTTTGTATACAAATAGTGCAAAAGACAAAGACAAAAATTCCCCTGCAAAGTTAAATGTATGTATGCACTGTACTTGTTAAAAATATGATTTTTTTTTTTTTTTTTAAAAAAACCTGGTTTGGAAAGTTTTGAAACATATTTTAACAAGAAACTAAAATTTTATAAATAAGGGACAGAATTTTTTAATTCTTTAAGTACTTATATTTTAATGCCTTTTTTTTAATATTGACTAATGCATGTATATTTAAATAAAAGAGTATCTATAGGCTACACAAAGACCAGTTGCGAATTCATCTTGTTATTTTTAAAATAAGTGTATCATTGTAAAACCACATTTTTATTATATTATACAATAATGCTAATATCTATTTACTTATTAGCTAATTCAACAACCATACATATATATTAATAACTATGGGTCAATGGATATAATGGAAATTATAAGACGGAATCAATTTCATTTCATTATAAGACTGGGTTTTATGTATTAATGGATAACTGTAAATTTTAATTTTGGTTAATAATTATGGTTTCAGACATTTTCATCTCTACAAATTGGAGAACTTATGAATGATTTTAAAGATGATCAAAAACGTAAAACTGACACAAAAAAACAACAAAAATCAAAACATGAAATGACATTAAACGAATTAGAAATGTTTTTGAATAATAAAAGCAACACCAGTGAACCGATTGGCGAATTCAGTCAAAAAATTGCTTCTGATCATAATACTGTTTATTATTATGAATCTGGTATGTAAAAAATTTAAATTGAAATGCATAATATTAATGAAATAACATGCATGGATTTATAATTACGAAAAGTATATCTAAACCTTTTATCAAATTAATGAGCAGTCCTAAGAAATAAACAATTTGTATTCTCATCAATGAAAATGTATGAGCAGAAGTAGAACCCAATATCTTGGGTTTCGCAAAAACATATCCTAAATTGAAACTTTAAACATTTATCCAGCTGTAGGCTTTCAATATATTTATATTATCTTAAGAGCAATTTATATACATTTATCAAGTATTCAAAAAATGTTACCCATATAAAATAAAAAATGATTTATAATCAAAAAGGCAATAATTAATCTTCGCGTACAAATATACAATAAATTTCCATTCTATCTTCCTAACTACTTACCTACAACAGTGGCCTACCATACCCAAGTGAAGTATGTCTGTTTGTGGTTCTTATTTTTATATCAATATAATAGAATAATATTTTAGATTCTGAGTGGAGCGAAGAACCTTATGGATTTAAAAAGATTTTTATTATTATTTTTTTAATCTGTGGGCAACTTTTCTACTTGAAGACTTGCTCAGATTTTTAATGTAACATTTTTTCTAAAAGGAAATCAGTGTGTAGAGGTACTTTAAGGTGGTCATTTTTTGATTTTCTCAAGATCTTTCTCATCAAATTTGAAAAACTGAAAAAAACTGAAGAAAACAGGAAAATATAAGAAAAGTAGATATTAGTTAAAATATTTGATGGCTTTCTTTTTTTCTATGCACAACTTTTCTATCAACAATTTTGTTTCAACTTGTAATGGTAGCAATTTTTCTTAAAGGAAATTTCACTAAGGAGGTATTTTAAAGAGGTAATTTTTCAATTTTCTCAAGAGTTTTATTAAATTTGAAAAACCGGGAGGGGAGACTTGAGAAAACTGAAAAAATTAGTACAATGCTAAACAAATATTATTAAAGAAAATTTATAAAGCCTTTTCAATTTTTTTGCTATAAAATGACATATAAATTGTTTACAAAGCATCAGTATCAACTGAACTCTGCTCAGAATTGTATTTCATAAGCAATGATTTATTGTTGCCTACAGGTATACATCTATAACAGTGGCTGCTTCTGTCCTCATTATTCTAGGATATCTTTTTCTTTTATATATTTGTATTTAAAGAACATTTGCGCTGTTTATAGACATTTAAATTTTTTGTTGAAATTCAGTTAAAACCAAAAACTGATCTCCCTAAAGTATCATTGGACAAAATTTCCATTAAGAAAATTTGCCCACGTATACAAGATTTCTAGTAGAGACCAGTTTAAAATCAATACATTCTTCCCTTGACTCAGAATCTAAAAACAACTAACATTTTAAATATTAGTTATAACTCAAAAATTAGTACACATTTTTTACCAGAAACCACTCCAGAAGTTGATGGTTGGAAAACATTTCTAGTCTAGAAATTGTTCACTAACAAATAAATATATATTTAACTATTTCTTTGCTTATAATAAAGAATTCATTAAACTATTAATACTTAATAGTCTACAATGAATAGTTATGTAAAAGATAGTAATTTTTATTCTAACAATATAATATTAAAATGTATTCACTTTTAGATATTAATAAGAAGCCATCCAGTAGTAGTAGTAGTTCTATGAATAATGAAGTATCCAATAAGATACAAACTTCTGATTTAAAAAAAAATGTTACAACTGAATCAAAGAATACTAGTCAAAAAGTATCTATACCTGATGTTATTGGATCACCTAATCTAATTGATGGTATAAATTAGTATTCTATTTTTATAGATTTTTTTTTCTCTTTGATTATATTATTAATATATAAATTACATATTATATATATATATATCTTTACAGATATAGATGAAGACATTTTTAAAGCATTTGCAGGAGATGAGTCTCTGGAAGAAGATAAACTGGCATGGCTTATATTTAATGAGAATAAAAAAGCTAGTAAAAGAAGATCAAGTAATAAATAAATTAGTTTAAACTAAAATATATTATAACATGTAATATTTCTTTGTAGGCGAATTTGAGTCTCCCAATTTGAGATGTTCTAAAACAGACGATAAGGGTTCTGATGTATTAACATCATCAGAAGAAGATATAAACACTAAAAATAATAAAGATCCATCCAGAAAATCTTTTGAAAACATTAATATTGCTGATGATAAATCTAATGAAGTCCGTTTAGATGTTTTTAATGAAGCAAATGATTTGTCCTGTGTGTCCAGTAATGATGGTTAATATATTTTATATTTTTAGTTTTAAGATCCTAATTTAAATAAAATTTAAGAGATTTTGATCTAAGTTGATCTAAATTTTAAATACAATTGAATTATTTGACAAATATCAAACTAAATAAAATAGTGTAATCAAAATATATTATTCATTTTAACCTAATTATTAATTTAACTTTAGATGATAATAGTTATCGTAATATTCCATCTACAAGCAAAGATACTTTTGAGTCATATTCTAGTTATAAATCTGAAGAGGCCCAGAAACGTACTAAATCACACTCTGATGGATCCTACAGTGATTCACCACTACTGTTATCTGAAAGTTCTGATGGATCATTATCTGAAAATTCTCTGGACTTTTCATCTGATGATAGTGTACCTGGTTATGTGATTCAGAAGAAAAACATATTTGGTTTGTTTATTCATATTACACATTACAAATTGTATATTATGGTGTACCCATGGAATACAGGAACACTTTATAACTCTGTACCTTATGCATATTTGAGTTTTCAGAATATGAAAATCAAACTATGGGACCATTCATTTTTCTGACTTAGAATTTTTTTCAATTCATGAGCACAAGTTTTATTCTGAGCATTGTGAAACGGATCAAAACTTTGTTTTTTTTCTTTATGAGAATCCCTATTTTTAAAACTATTTTAAATTTTTAAAATATTTTAAACCATATAATAATAATATTAATGTATAAACTTGTTTTGTAAATTCAAAATTGACTGATGTGAGTTATTTGAAGCTTGAAAAATAAAAATAAAACATTTTGATCATTTAATTATAATTCATCAATCTGACTTGAGTAATACTAAACTAGGTTTTTAAACTTAAAAAAAAAAATTATATCAAAAAATTGAATGGCCCAATAACTGCTTATTCTCTTTTTAAACAATTAATACCACTCACTTTGATTAAAAAATGTATGAAATTATTTTATGTCCATGGAAACAGGGAACACTTTATAACTCTGTACCTTATGCATGTTTTAAATATTTTTAAGATCTAAAATTAGACTACCTATACTAACAAATTGTTTATATTATAGAGGAAGAAGATAAATTGTTAATGCATGCTAATTCTAATAAGAATTTGGATCCTTTGAAATTTGGTAAAACTGAATTTAAAGAACTAAATGATGATAGTAAGAATGTTATTAAAACTACAATAAGTAACTGACTCATGTTACACATATAGTTTGACTAATTTTTGTAATTGATTTACTTTCAGTTATAGAGGACGATGAAGATCCATTACCACCATTAAAACTCGATAAAAAATCAATGAAATTTTATGCTGAAGTAGATGCTTTATTTGCTGATAAACGTGTGTGGGCTATGAAGGTACTTATATTTTACTTTTCAATTATCTGAATATTGAATACATTATGTTTTTTTTTTTTAGGATACATTAGTTATGCGTAAATATGATTTGGAACTTTTAAAAGATAAATCTGATAGATTGGGATCTACTATAACACAAAAAATTACATCACAAATTAAGGTGATTAATTGATACATAATTTAAAGATAGTATTAAAACATTAATATAAATTCAAAATTTAAGCTGACTATTTATAGTACTGTTTACATCTACTTGGTTTATTTATTTATATATTTCAATATTTTATAAAAAAAAAAAAAAAAAACTTATGTTAGTTTATTATAAATTATTTTATTCTTAAATATTTATTTTGTACAATACTGCTTAATGAGATCATCTTAAATTGTATCTACAGACACTTAATGTTATCTAAAATAGTTACATTATTTAATAAGTATTGAGATTTATTTGTATTAGTACAAGTTAAATTATTGGTTTCATTATTTTATTATAATTTTTTGATTTAAAATAATACTTATGTCCATCAATTTATTTATTTATATAGTACTAATTCATATTTCAGATGCTCTTAAAATTATTTGGCATACCATTTGTAATAGCTCCAATGGAAGCTGAAGCACAGTGTGTGTTTTTGGAAAAAATTGGCCGTACTGAAGGTACTGTGACGGATGATAGTGATGTATGGTTGTTTGGAGCTAATGTTGTTTATAGAAATTTGTTTGACAGTAAAAAATATGTTAAACAATTTAAAAGCATAGACATCAAACAGAAATTAGGTGACAATTTGTGTGTATTTAAAAAAAAAATAATAATATTACATTGTATTTTAATTTGATCTAGAATTGTCTCGGAATAGCTTTATTCAATTAGCATTTCTTCTGGGGAGCGATTATACAAATGGTATTGAAGGCATTGGTCCAGTATCCGCTATTGAGATTTTATCTTTCTTTGAACCAAAGACTAAAAATATGAACATTGAAGATAAATTATTAAAAATTAAGGAGGTTGCAAATTCAAGTTCTGATGTTTTCAGCCATATACCATTTATAAAAAAATTGAAGTCTTCCAAAATCAGCAGTGGTAAGTAATAAAAATGTAAAATAATAAATAGTTAAGTAATAATTTAGTAATTATAAATATAATATTTATTTTAAAATGTGAATGTATTATTTAAAATTTAGATTTTCCTAATAAAGCGGTTTTAAATGCATACCTCAATCCAAGTGTTGGTGAATCTGATGACAAATTTAACTGGGGTATACCTCAGGTAGATAATATTATTCAATTTGCTCGTACTAATTTTAATTGGGATGTTCAAAAAACTCAAAGTACATTAGAACCAGTTTTAAAGAAAATGAAAGCAGAAACAGTAAGTTTTAAAATAAAATTAAAATAATTTATTTTAAACTTATGGTCTGTTTTTGATAAGGCTCAAAAGTCATTAGATTCATATGTCAAAAGTCTCCCCAAATTAAGCAACACAAACACTGGTATGAGTAAGCGTGTAAATCTCGCTGTGAAACGGATGCGAAATGACAATAGTTCTATAGAGACTAATACTCAAAAATCTGAAAATCCAAACAAAATTTCATTATCAAACATTTCTAGTGATATAACAGATAAAAAGCGTAGAAAAACATACAAATAAATTGTTCCTGGAAACTGTCATAGTGAGTAAAATGTGCCATAATTAAACATGTCCAATATTTAAAACATGAACAGGTATTTATATCAATAGAACAGACATTTCATTATTTCTAGTTTGTCTATATATAATACTTTTAATCTATTTATTATAAAAATTTGTACATTTTTACAGAATCCAAATTCATAATATTTGAACAAATTTACTTTTTATTAAAAAAATATTATTGATGTATAATTCTTAAACTATTCCATATATCTATTAATATTATTGGAGTAAATACTACTATAAATAACTCTAGTCATTTTTTAATATAGTATTCTTAATATTACATAATTAAATATTTAAATATCTTTTAAAAATAAAATTAATCAATCTAAATTAAATATTATTGCTTGTGTTAAACAAAAAAATATTTGTAGAGAATTAAAATGATATTTATTTTATTTATTTATTTAATTATATACAATAATTGTTTTTTGTCACAAAAAAAAAAAAAAAAATCACTATTTATATAGATTTCTACTAATTAATCTCTCAGTGGTTTTAATTCCACAAACTCAAATAGTGAAGCTATTAAACCTTTTATTAATTTAATGTGAAAAGTTTTATTTTTAAGGTTACTTGATTATTGGACTTACCAATTCAAAATTCACCACAAACCTAACTTTCTTAACTATTTAATACTTGAAAAATATTTTACAAAATAAATTATATCTTCATTGTATCAAATTTTTATTCAAATTATCATTATTAATCTTTTTTTTACCAAAAAATTGAATGAATATTATAAATAATAATTTGTCATAAGTTCACCACCTTAATTTTTGTAATGTAGTTCTATTAAAAAATGTTTATAAATATCATATTTAATTTATAGTTGCTGTTTTTTATTGTTATAATCAATGTTATAGTAGTCTAGTAGTAAACATAACATTATCAACATTATTCATCATTTAACATTTATTTTGATTAATAACTAAATAGTTATATAAGTGATACTATTTAAGATCCAAAACTTCTCATTTTTCTATTTATTGTATATTTGTTTTCTTCTATTCTTTAAAGGAAATATTAAAAATATTAATATCTACTTATATAGATCTAAATCATATGATCCCATCATGTATATTATTATAAACTGTAATAATATAATTTGTATTGTTATGACACTATTAAATGTGTAATTAAATTTAGCACAAATGCTTTAAAAATTATGTTATACAGGTTTAAAATTTTGCAATTATTTTTGGTGACCCTTAAAACATACCGAGTCAAAAGTGAATTTGTTTTATACTTTACTGGTGTCATGCAAAATGTTTAATTGTTATTTTTTGCATATTTAAGATCTAAAGAGCTATTTTGCTTTGTTGTCCAAATAGTAGAATTAAACCTAATAGGATGTATTTAGTTATTTTTAATATCATGTTATCCTCATTGTATTGCTTTATTATCAGATTTAATTTTGTATATTTTCTAATTTTTAATGCTATTTATAGTTCTTATTTTAGTTGTTTGAAGTGCATATTTAAAGCATTAAAAGTTAACTTTTTAGTGCTATTACTTTAGAGCCCTAATAATCACTAATCATCTGATGAATTTTAAAATATATTCTAGTAATATTAATAATTTTGTATTTTACAAATTCAGGGTTACCACTCTTTTTGAGAACCCGGAAATCCTAGAAAAGTCAGGGTATAGAGAATATATCATAATATTCATGAACATTTAAAATTTGATAGCAGTCTAAAGTGTTTTCCCTATAATACTAATATTTTTGACGATAAAACTAAGAACATTAAATTCTACTGCTAGTTAAGGAAAAGACTTGTAATTATTATAGTTAAAATTAAATATTGAATATTATAATATAGAATATAAACATATAAATGTTGGTTTAGACAAGTTTGATTTTTTTTATGGAAAGGCTGGAAATATCAGATAATTTTAAAATTCAAAGAGTAGCAACTCTGTAAATTATAATTATAATATTTGTATGTTTAAAATCATTTATTACAATTTTAAATTTTTTATTGGGGACGTTATGACATCATGACTACATTATGTAAAATAAATATCCAACTGAATACTATTATCTCAGATAAGAATCATAGATAGGTATACAGCAAGACCTTCTAATTGTATGGTTAAAATATTTCAATATAATTTTGTCAAAGTATTCTTTATTTATAAAATATATTTAGCCTAAAGTTTTATTCAATAATTATTGGAAAATATCTATGAACTAATTTTAAACACCTAATGTATTAATCTATATGATTAAGTATATTCTAAAATAAAAGATAATATTATTGATAAGATATATTTATGTAATATATCTATACATTCCTATAATAAGTTTTATACACCTATTTAAAGCTATATGATTTAAATAATATTGATGTTTGGAAGACTTTAAGTATTTACATTTGTTGTTATTACTAAGTAATATTATAATTTAGTCGTAAAATGTATGTATAAATTTGGTTATTTTCTATGAGCTAATCCAAATTTTTTTTGTTAATCATTCGTGTTTTGTGTATGTATTTTTTTTTTAAATTATTTCCATAACATATATGTTTATAAAATGATAGTTAATAGTAAAATTGTTTAGTTGTGTGCTTTCTTACGTGTTATTAAATGTATATCAGCTACATAAGTAGATACATTTTTTGGAAACTATTCACTGATTTTGATTTTATTCAATTAGATATAACAATATTTTTATTCTTTTTCATCTGTCATTAAATGTTATTATTTATTATACATTTCTGATCATTATTTTTATTGTTAGTTTGGTAATTTAAACTTAAAAACCAAGTAGACAAATATTTTTAATGATATAATAATAATTGCTGGTATTATTTATTTAATTGGTACATATTGGTGTATTAAAATGTGTAATGTATGTCAGTTACTTTATAACACTTCAATATTTTATTCAGTTACCTAGTATTTAGTTAATTAAAACATTATATTTATAGTATTTTGGTTATAAAATGTTGTGTTCTTATATAATTTATTTTAAATCTTTTATTTATTTTATTTTAAAAATAATTTATGTGTACTATATTTCCAATAGGTAATCATATGATTGTAGTATCTATCCAATAATTTGGTATTTTTGTTTATCTTTATATATGTTTGAATGTTTAATGTTTTATTTGTTTAAGAGTTGTTATTAAGAAATTAATAAATGTGGTATACTATATACATTATATTCTAAAATATTATATTTGTTGTTATTGGTCAATTATTTTAAAAATATTATCCAAAAAATAAAAAAATAACCATTCGACAATAAAATGTTGACAATTTTCTATTATGTATGATATACTAAGTGAAAAGCATGGCACTTGATCTATGATAAGTAGAACATTAAAATATTAAATAGATGAAGGAGTATGAGTATATGTATAATAGAACATTCTAAATATTTGTATTCATGAAACATTATTTTTTACTAGTAAGCATGATTTTTTTTTCAAGAAAATCTTGTTTTTAAAAACCATTTATTTAAATATGTATTTTCAACTTTTTATGAATAATTTAAGCAACTTAGATACATTACTTAGATTATGTGTGTATATTGCCATACACATGTAAAACCATATGTTAAAACTCCCTATGGCCTTCTCTACCTCATTTAAAAATTGGGGGTGGAAACGGACAATTGGATTATTGATAACTGTATTGTCATTAAAAATATGAGTGTACACAAAATTGCACAATGATTAGCCCCCATCAAATAGGTCAAAAATGGATTGCAGAATTTCATGAACACACTCGAAGCAAATTAAAGTAATTCATGTAAAAAAAACAATAATAATATGTTTATAATATGATTTTTAATATTTTTATCATACATCAGGGACAGACTTTGGTATAAAAAATATTTACATCAAACTCTATTTATAATATAATTACAGACTTCATTCTATAAAGAAAAATGGGCTAGACTGATTGGGCAAATTTCCCAAAACTGTGGTCTGTTTAGAGGACTGTTTATTCCACTAAACATACCATTTGCAGGAATAAATATAAATAGGTTTATAATTATAAGTAAAATTTGTTCATAAGTATATTGTATATTATTATATAAAAAATAAAATAATAAAGTAAAAACAAAACTTATTAAAATGGTTAATACTCGTAAATAAATATATAAATAAATTGCCTGGAGTATTATGATAAGGTTATTATACAACCAGCTTCGAATTAAAATTTCATCATCAGGTATATCACAGTCAAAATGTAAGCCCGGAATACACGAGGCTAGTTTTTCAAGTTAAAATAGCAAGGTAATACTAGTAAGCCAGAAAACTAGTAATTTTAGCTTCGTATAAACAGAGCTAGCCTTGTAGGATGTTAATTTAAAGTCTATTGAATTATATTGTGAAGAAAAATGTCTATGGAATGCCAATATTCCATCTTATAAAAATAAATCTATGCGTCATTCATCAATACAAAAATTATGTGCACGATTGAATACAATCGGCATCTAAATGACTGTTAATGAAGTAAAAAATAAAATTTAAAATTTTATAGCTGTCAAATGCTGTCAATTTACTGTCAAATGTTGTCAAAAATTGGAAAATCAGTAATGCAATACGATGCTAGTATAGCTGTTTTCCTAGCATCGTATATTCTATTCAAGCTTCTTCCAAGCTAGGATAGTAAGTCTCGTAATAGCTAGCTTAAAAAACTAGCCTCGTGTATTCCAGGCATTACATTTTAACTGTGATATGAATGATTATGATGAATTTTAATTCGAAACTGGTGTAACAGTCGAATGTGACTCCCACGGCGATTGAATTCATTTTTATTTATGTGTATGTTTTAAATTATTTATAATCAATTAGTTTTATACTTACTTATTAATTATACCATTTTTATTATTTATTAGAATAATAAATATTTTTTATTTATAATACGGGTATTATATTGTATTAATTTATAAACACTGTACATTTCTACATGTGCAGTTTGACAAAACAACACTATATCAACTGAACTCCGTTCAGAATCGATTTTTCGTTAGCTCGAAATATTACAGACTTAATGACACAATTGCGTTAGAAATATATAACACTTCTTGTGACGTCAACAATCAACGATTATAATAATTATCCAGTATTGTTTACGAATTTACCGTAGTCAATTTGTATAATTGGGGTAACAATAAATATGGTTTGATTATTTAGGTTGTTGTAGATGCGAGATACATTTAGTAGGTATAACAAGAAACTTGGTAAACACTACGAGATTCTATTTAACAAAATTCAATTAATAATCTTATCGAAACGTTGATTGAATGTATCACATATTCACATAATTTCGTTAGTAGTAAGATTTAAGGTAGTATCAACAAATTATGATTTAACAAACCTATTCTGTTATAGACTTACACCGATTTTTTTCAGTGTGATTGTTCGAGATTGGTATTGATGAGCTAAAGAGCACTAAAACCTAGGTAAATATCGTTTTTATTTAATGTGCATTATTGTCGTAAAATCATAGTACCCCCGAGATAAAAATTACACGGATATAAAATTCGGTTATTACACCGGTATCAAAATAATACAGGTACCTAGTGGTTTTAAATAATCTCTTGTGAAAATATTCTCAAAAACGGAAAATAATGTTTGATAATTTTCATTTTTTTCTTCTTCTAAAAGTATAGTAAAAGGCTACAAAAAGAACAAAAAGTTAATCGCTCACTATTGCATGTACTAGTCTTAACAATTATTGAACAGACACCTTTATTTTAAATATATTGATGCATAAACTCATGGCAATTGTGAAAAATATAATATAGTTCTTTAAAATAAAAATCAGAATACGTTACACATGATATTTTATTAACAAAATAAAGTGCAATTGATGAATACTTGAAACTTGTACCTACACTTAAGACCTGGCTGCACAATGCGAGGTGCTGACATGACAGTGGCCATCTAGTACACCTGTGTGTAGTCGTAGTAAAAAGAAAAAATGTTGTTATAACATCGATACAAGGTAGTGCAGGCTGACTCGTACAAGACAGTAAATCGCATAATTCGGCTTCACAGTGTGAGTAGCTGCAGTGCTGCACTTCAGTAAATGATTAGGTTAGCTTGGACACTAGCCTTTACTATGTAACCTGTGTAGACCTTAAATCAGTTTTACGCAAACCGTGCAGTTTTTAATGAAATTTTAAAATTAAAAATTTGTTTATTGACAATATTGTAATGGCATGAATGAGCTGTATTTGAATATAAAATATTAATTTTGAGAGTGTGGATATTAAAAAGTGAAAAATAAGCGACACATTTTTTAACATCTTTTGAAAAATAAACATAGTTCAATTTTTTTTTTCTATTTCAGAATTTTGACACTAGTAACACCTATGCAGGGTTGGACTAACCTATCGAGATACCGAGAATTTTCCCGGTGGCCACACCGCAGCAGTTATATTGAATTGCAAGTGATAATAAAAGAAAAACTGTTTTTTATAATTTATATCAGTTTTAATTGATAAGAGAACCAGGAACAAATAAAACGTGACAAGTCAATTGTATCGAAACGTTTAGGGAATTATAAATTATTGGATGATAGACGTGTGTGAAATTGGCCCACCACTGTGTCCAATTTTTTCCAAACCTCAGCCATTATTTTAAAATAATTTGAAAATATTTGAAAAATAAAATTTTAGTTTTTAAATTATTTTCAAAATAATGGTCGAGGTTTGGAGAAAATTGGCCCAAGGGGGTGCCAACTTCACACACGTGGATGATAGTTTTAAAATTATAAACAAATAGAAATATGATAAAAGTTCTTTTACTAAAATATATACAAACTTTTTACTAAGACGTATATTTTGCTGAATTATTAATTATTTGGAGTTTTTTTTTTTTTTTTACAATTGAGTTAAATATAAAATGTACACTATTAAACACAGGCGTGTGAGTAGTATGAAAAGAGGGCTTCTACTCCAGGTTCAGGTGCAGAATCAAGGAGCAAGGATTTTTTTTTCCTACATGTACCACGTACTCGACCTATTTAGACCACGCCCCCCTTTTTTTTCCACACTGTTAACACCAAATACTACTATCGCCTTACCCTACCCGCCGACCCTTTTAACATACCTACACACACATACATACGCACATAAACGTATGTGATGTTGTTGGCAGATGTGTTCGAAAACTTCCGCGACATTTGTATGAAGACGTATAATTTAGATCCGGCGTACTATTACACAGCACGAGGATTCAGCTTCGACCGTATGCTGAAATATACGGCTATTGAATTAGAACTTCTGACAGACTACAATATGTTGCTGATGTTCGAAAGAGGTAAACATTTTATGTTATTTTATACATATTAACTATCATTATATTAATTTGATTTTATAGGTGTACCTAGTGAATTGGTACAGGCGAGCAAACGATACGGGAAGGCGAACAATCATACGGTGGAAGACTATGACAAGACGAAAGAAGATTCATGGATTACATATCAGGATTGTAAGTATACATAGTATTTAAAATATATATACAGTTGCATGTAAAAATGTCAGGTCAAACATAATTTTGTGATTAAGTAGTATATAAAAGGCGCAATGTAAAAAAATTGATATATCAGTTGATATTTAATAAATATAATGGATCATTCGCTATTTGAGAATGATACAAGCTTATCTACAAGCAAAATAATTTAAAATTTATCAAATATAATAGAACTCCATGCCACTTGCTGCAGCCCTTTGAGGCCACTGCCGCCTCAATCATACTATTGTATATTATCTTATTCTCACAATTCGTTTATTAGTTATTCTATATCGACATTGACGCGAAGGCCATCTGTTCTGTTTTTTTTAAGCCCACAAATTCCAATGGTTTTTTTTTTTCATTTGAGAAGAATCCATATCCAATCCATTACCTTCATTAAGGACATTTAAATATGAACTCAACATCAACATCAATCGGCCCTTCGATGATACTGATCATCATTTTCTCGCACTATATACCATTATAATTATTTTTATACAAATTTCAAATCAACACAACACTATTTTTTTTTTTTATGGTTGACCTTTTTTTGGCTTATTTCAGCATATAAAATTTAACAGTTTTTTCAATTGAAAATGAAGCGACTTGACCTTTCAAGAAATCCTAAGACGATCACTTTGATGAGAATCCTGCACATAGCAACAACTACGTTCCACTTACTTCTTTCGAGGATCTCTTTCGAATAGCTAGCTCCGACTTTTAACAACTATAATCACTTGTATTCAATTTATTTATTAATTTACTTTGTAATTCAACCTTTTATTTTCCTAATATAAAGATTAGCATTTTTTTTTCTGATTGCACACAGGTGCTAAGTGTTAATTAATTAAATTGTGATTGCCGTCCAAGGACTCAAGGATCACATGAGGTTATCCATAAGTATACACCCTAGCATTCCAACACCGTGGGCAGTTAAAATAATTATTGATTCAGGACTCCTTATTGAATCCCTTTCAAACATTGGAAGGAAGGTAGTAATATAATTAGTAGCCTGAACTTTTATTATGATTAAAGATAAATCATTCTTTGTAGCACCAAAAACTAGATCAATTGTTTTATATTATTTAGGTACATTTATATACCTACTCCTCTATATTTTATTCTTTGTAGGTACTTGTACGTAATATCCTATCATTTTAAATATTTTTGTCTTCTATTACTATACTTAGTGTTTTAGTATAGACTAGTAATAGTACTATCTCACCCTACCTCAACTTTATATTTTCCCTCCTAACACTTTTACCCCCCCCCCCATTTTTATTTTCCTATTTTTTGTATTACTACAATGATAAAAGGATAACTATAAGAGACAAGATACACACAATGGCATATGGACACCACCAACTACTATAATACAGTGAATGAATATATTGCATAAAAATGTATGTATATATTGTAAAAAAAAAATGTAGATATTTGTTAAATAAAAACAAAATGTAATATATGAAATAATTGTCAAATAAATGAAAAAATATACTATAACTTTATTATTATTTATATGAACACAATTTTTTATAAATAATATGTGCACTTATAAAAAAAAGTTTACCTATGGACTATCTACCGACACTTGTTTTAAAAAGAAATCTATTAAAGGTCTTTTTTTTTCTTTTTTTGGTAGGTAGGAAACAATTAAAATAAGATCAATGGCTAAGTAGTAGTAGGGGGGAAGGTTGACGACTGTAAGAAAGGAAATATAGGTAGGTTAGGTTAAGTCAGGTTAGTTATAATATAGGTGGCAATTATAAATCTTTTATTTCTCAAATATTGACTAACCATTTTCGTAATACAAAATTTGTACAATGAATAGATCGAAAATTGTAATTATACTCGCAATTAAATCGTTTGAAGAAGTTTCAATATTATTTATTTTTATTACGATTTCATCAGATATTTTGCCGAGAGCGAGAAATTTGTTTTCCTGTATTTCCATCCAGTCTGTTATTTTCGCTATATCTTCTTGTAATACTTTAATTGTTGCTACGAGTCCGTCGATCATCTTATTTCTTTCACCCTCTAAAGTACTGCCAAACACGTCCATGGTCAAAGTACGACTAGTGTCATTTGTTTAAAACACTTGTATTTATTTATTTATCCAGCTATCGAAACCTCTCCATTTCTACGTATTTTTTCAACTAAATAATCGTGCAGAAAGGTGGTTTTATTTATTTCCTCTGCATAAAAACATCCGACTATCGGGTTTCCTTTGTAATCCTCCAACTGATATGTAAACGGCGATGTATTATTTATTTTTACAAGATTAAAAATTTCCGTAGACCATTTGGGTAAATAACCTTTTGTAAACACACCATTATTTACGCTAACTCGTACTTTATCCCCGACTATGAATTTTTTCTTTCTAACAGGTATATTACGTTGATTTAATATCACCGATGGTGAATTTTTATCAGCCTGTATCGGTGTCATTCCGATAGTTCTATGTTTTGAATTGTTATATTTTTCAATCAACTGTGGTAATATAGAAATCCATTCGCGAGATCCGTTTGCGGTAAAAGCTCTAAACATATTTTCTTTTAGAGTACGTTTAAGCCGTTCTACGATGCACGCCTTAGTAGTACTAAACGTGGATTTTTTTTAATCATACATACACATAATATATATTTATATTCTTTATTTTGTTTTGAATATGGTATCATTTCGACCAAGTCAGCTTGCCATAAGTCGTTTTTACCATAAACATTGACCGTACGTCAAATATAATTTCTCCTCGCCGGCTTGTGTAGCTCGAGTGCGATATCTCGTTTAGACATTTAGAATACGTTTTATTAATCCGGTTTCGAGAAATTCTTCGAAAATAGATATAATCTTGTTCGTTACACCTGTATTCCCGGCTGTTTTAGAAGCATAAAGTAATCGAAGTCTATCGACTAACTCGTTCGGAGAATATCAGTAGACTAAATTACTTTTCTGTAATTTCATCCGTAGTCCACTACCGGAGGGAAATAATTTTGAAATAATATTTAAATATTTTTTACCGCCTTTTTTAACCTTGGATCCATCGCCTGTTAAATGTGCGTTCGTTTGTAATAATATAGACTTGTACGGGTCTAGATCGTGTCGGGTATGCGAAATCGGAAATTTCAAAAAAATTAATTGTAAAAGACCTATTGTTAAACGGTATTTTATTTTCTTAGGACTTACTATTACATTTTCGCCAGCGAATTTAACTACATTATTCCCCAAAACGATTTGATTATAAATTTTCTTTGGACCGTACGTTTTATCGAAATCGGGTGAATTAAACCAATTTTCTAGTAAAGATTCATAATTTTTTTTCATGTTTATACTTTCTTCAGTTACATTTTGTTTTTCTTCTTCTTCTTCTTTAATAAAGTTTTGTATTAATTCTCCTTTCTCCTCGGGCGGGACTTTGGATTGATTAAGTGTCTATAGTTGTATTTGGTTTAATGGGTCTATAACTGGTTTTAACGTTTTTTCTACTCCCGACTGTAAGTCTGCTTCGTTATGTTTTAGTGCAGAATATTTTCGTTTTATATTTTCTTTTGCTTTTATTAGCTCGCACAATCCTCTATCTCGGGGCATGGTTATACAGAAAATGAGATATTTTCGTTTTAACCACCGTTTTATATAGCAACAAACGAATCGAACCCGTGACGATATCGTTCGTTATCTCGCTCGCATTCTTTACTAATTACTACAAAATTAAACCTCCTCTTAGCCCAATATGAGGTACAAAAATCTTTAAACTCTTGACATTTCATATCACCGGAACAATGATCCATATAAACGTGTTTTAAATTAGTCTCGTCTTGTTTGAATAATATGATAAAATTACTGTTGTCCTTGAGTAGTTGTTTCGGTAAGCGAGCAAATGGCTGTGCCAAGTAAAACACGTCTACTTGATTATGTCGTCCACGCGAAAAATATGAACGTACGATATTTTGATTTTCACAAATAATATCATCGAAAATAAACACAGAGTTTGGTAATGCTTTTTTCGGCGTGATAACCTTATCGCTTTCGTGAAACATAAACAATTTAATCTCTTTTATATCTCATAAAATCTCAAACAGCATTTGATACTTTGGTTGATTTAATGTTTTTGAATAAATGTTTAGGTTATGAAATCTCACTCTGTTTTCATTTGTTAACAAAGTATATAACAAGTTGGTTTTACCACAACCAGAGGGGTCTACGATAATTGCGCATATCGTGTTTGGGAAAAGCAAACCGTGTCTCGAGCCACCATTAGTAACAGTTGGTAGATTTACATTTTCAACCGCGAGTTTAACTTGTTGCTCGATGAATTTCATTTTTATATAAATGTATGTGAAAAATTGAAACAATACACAATGTCACCTGTCCGAAGACGGACAACGATTAAAGGCTGTGGTCTCATTAACACGCTTATATACAAACTCCCAGTGAAACTTTATTTACCGGGTTATCAATTCTGTGGTCCGGGCACAAATTTGAATAGACGTTTAGCTTGAGGTGTTAAAGGCATAAACCCTCTAGACGCGGCCTGTAGAGAACACGATATTGCATACGATAATAGGAATTCTATAGTGGATCGAAACAAAGCGGATTATATATTGGAAAATCGAGCTTGGGAGCAATTCAAAGCTAAGGACGCAGGTTATAGGGAATAGGCGGTGGCGTGGAGTGTGACTTCAGGTATGAAGATGAAACGGAAATTGGGTGCCGGATCCGGTTTTAAAGGTGCTGTTAAAGCCGCTAAAAACGTTTCAAAGAAAAACGTTGGTGAAAAAAATGTCAGCACGTTAACCAGAAAATGTATTGCAGCATCGAGAAAGGTATTCAAGAAAAATAAAAATAATAACCAAACGCCTCGAGTGATACCTATACCCAAAACTGGAGGTATGCTACCGCTTATACCTATTTTCGCCGGATTGTAGGCATTGGGCTCTTTGACGGGTGGTACAACCCAATTTTTTTTTGGTTATTACTAATTTTAATCACTTTTTTTTTGGTGCCTAGCTAATAGTGATAGGAATCCGAAATACCGGATTTTTAAAAAAAAAGTGATATAATATGTACATCGACTTTTGAAATTACTGCTATAGCGGTAGCTGTCCACGAATGTATTAATAATGTACGCCTCAATAATGAACACAATTCAAGTACTGCTAATGCACGACTATTACTACTGCTATTATCGGACAATATATATAAATATTTATATAATATATATTGATCATTATGGTTCGAGAATATCCGGGTGACGCGATAACGTTGGATTTTCATCAGATAAACATTTCAACGAAATTCGAAAATCGTTGATCGGAAAATATCAATATTTACCTTGGCATCCAAAGCATAGAAAAGACATGTGCACCTTACAGTTTGGGAACCTCTGTTATAAGGTATAGTGACAGTAGTCCCAAATTCTAAATTACATAATCCCTACCCGATAGTTAATTTCCTAACAGTCAATACCAACTACCATAATATTATCGGTTATCTCTGGACTACGGTACCTAATCGAAATAAGAATTCAATATTTACAAATTTACAATGGCCTCTAGGGTACTGATAAATGAGAAAAAAATCAAAACCCATTTTGTGTGTAGTGTTGTCTACATTTTGTATGCAGCTATTTTGCTGTAGTCAATTAACCAGTTAAATAATAAAATAATTAGAACCAACTATTGGTAGGTAAGTGTTGAAATATTATATTTACTGATAAGTTATGCCAAATCCGTAACGATTATAGAAATTGATGTATGTTTATGGTTTATCATACAATTAATAATTATTATAATTATTGTATTAGAAGTAATTGTTTGCTAGTTTAAATTATGACTTAAAAATAAAAACCAACTTGTTTAGACACCATTCTGTTTTATATTACTTCATGACATAAATATTTGATGCACACACAGGTATTATACAAAGCATTTATAACGGCAGATAATCATGATAACTGGCAATCATTTTCACCATTTTATCGAAAATACACTATTGGCTCGATCTGAAGAGTAAGTAAACACATTAAAATAATGCCATTACAAATAACTTATTCTTCCTCAATTCCTTTATCCTGCACATCTCATCATACATCATCATTTTATCGTTCATTCTATTGTTACTCATGCTATCTAAAGTTAGTCACTAATAAAATAATCAAATTGATATGGCAATTATAATTTTTTGGATTTTAAAAATGATTAAAGTAAGTACTTAAGGGTAACCTATAACATATTCTATACATTTTATTATTTTATGTTGCAGTATTATTAAGGAAAAAAATTTTGGCGAGTATAAATATGGACTCTATGACAATACAGTTATTAAAAATGAAAATCAATCAAGTATGGAACAAGATATTATATTTTTGGATCAAAATGATAAATTTTCATCTTCTGAGTATGGTCTGCAATTAGTAAATGATAAAAGTTATTGTAATCTAATATGTAATGAACAAAAGAGATCCACATTCCATAAAGAATTACCGCTTGATATTGATTTTCAATCTCCATATGTACTAGGAACAACAACATTTAAAATTCCTAGTGTGATCAAACAAACTATTTTTAATAGTAAAATTATTTTTATTTATTTATTTATTTAGAAAAACTCTACTATTTCTAAAATTATTAACTATTGTACATTTTAGATAAAAATAGACAAAACTTAGAACATAGTAGTGCTTTTAAACCAGTATACCGCTGGCATCATGATATTTCTAATGAGGAGACAATAAGAATTAGTAAGTCCATATGTATTTTAAAAATTTAAAAATTATCATTGAATTGTTTAAATTATAGGCAACAATAAACAACATAATAAAGAGTATCTTAGCGCTTTTAAACCAGTAAATCATTCAACACACAATGAAAGAGATGAAGTCAAAGATATTAGTAAATCCATTTTGTTTAAAAAATTTCAGAAATTATAACCTTTTAATATACATATTTTTTTTTTAGACAACATCAGGCAGAAAATTAAACATAATAGTGCCTTTAAAGTATTCAATTGTAATGCATATACAACTGAAAAAATAAGAGGAATAAGTAAATTTTTTTTATTTTTTTTTAAGATTAAAAATTAACACTAATTAATTTTAATTTTAGGTTACAGTAGTCAGAACCAAGGTTATAGTAGTGCTTTTAAACCAGTATACCAATCAACTCAAAATACTTATGATAAGATCACTGGAATAGGTAAATACATTTTTATTAAAAAATTATAAATTATTTTTAATTATTATAATTTTATTTTATTACAACATATAGTTATATAAATAATCAGTTGAAGTTTGTACATTTTTATTTTATAATTATAAATGTGTAATGTTAAATACATTTTTAAATTATAGGTCTGACTGCTATAATGTATAATGCATATTGTGATAGTTTAAGTTTACAAAGATTAAAAACACAGTTATGTGATTAATGATAATTTGTTGTACAATATTAAGTCTTTTTGACTTCATAGATGTTTTTATCCTGTCTTTGGTAATGGAGGTTTACTTATATAAAATTTGATTTTTTTTTTTTTTTTTAATTTTGTTAAGTTTGTACGAATTGTATGAATATATTTTATTAAATTAAATTTGTAAAAGATGTGTTATATCTGTTGAATTTAGGTGGTATATTACATTGTTTTATACATTCACTATGATTCAGTTATTCAGTTTAAAACACATTGACCTCTTTGACCTATTGTAAAAATCCATAAATACTCTAATTGTCAGCTGTCTAGTTGTTTTTCAATTTCTCACATTAATTTCAATAGTTAGTGTATAGTATATTTACATGAAAATATATTAAACTGTGATCATGTTCATCTAAAGGCCATAATTTAATTTGGTGTAATGAAAAACTAAGCATTAATAATATAAAAATTAAATATTTTCTGCTCTAGCTATAGTTAAACACTTAATACAGTTTATTTCAATTTTAGATTACAAGAGAGAAAGATTGAATGAAAACATATCAAGTTATCTAGGCGAAAATGCTGAAAACTTCTTCAACTACACAACAGCTCAACAAATCAACCAAAGTAATCTGGGTATGTATTAAATTTATTGCTTATAAAAATAATTAATATTTCTGCTTATTAATAAGTTTATTTAAATGTTTCAGGTACTTGGGTAGATGTTAATTATAATTTTAGTGGTCAACAAGTAGGTGAAGTCAATTCTTCAAACAAAATATGTCAAAAACAAAATTTTATCAGTTATACAGAAAAGCTAGGTAAAATAAATACACATAATTAGTGGTAAATCATTCAAAATTGTTTTTGTTTATTAATAAATTTAAATTTACAGTTTCAAATAATGATATTGCTGTTTTGTTAATGCGACAAATTGATGCTATTGAAACAAACAATAAATTGTTGAAAGAAATTATTTTAACAAAATACAATGCATCAAATAAAGAAAATTAATCAATATACAGGCCTTACATAATCACTTTTAAAGATAGTAGTTACAATTTTTGTAACTAGTCATTTAACACACTTTTTTAACCAACTATCTATTAAAATTATGATTTAATAATAATTAACTTTAGCTAACAATTACAGTTCTATTTCTTTCTTTAATTTTTAGTTAATGCAATTACATTTTCTTTTTATAATATCAAAAATAAAAAAATCTTGGGTGATTTGTGGCCATCATGTAATACTAAATAGTAATAATAATAATAATATATACTAAGATGTAGCATTGTTATATAATTATAAAAAAATAATTGATATTTTTTTTTTGGAGTTTGAAGTTGATGCTTTATCATACAAGTATTATAATAAAGTTAATAAAGAATTTTAAAATTATATACTATTTATGTACTGCCCCAATATCTTTAAAGTTAGTCGTAGTTAATTTATAGGAAGATTTATACACATTCCTTGTGTCAAAATAGTCACAACATCTTTCAATATTCTACTTAAGTGTAGCAATATTTAATTAAAAAATCTCAAAATTTGTTTCTGATTGCATATATGAATGTACAATATATGTTCAGCTGTTTTTCACCACACAAGACACATTTCCAAAAAAAAAAAAAAATTCTATAATATAATAAATAAAATATAATATAAAATTAGTTAGACGGATAGAGGTGAGTCTAAAATAGATACACTATATATATATATATATACTAATCAATGTCATAAGAAATAAATTTTGATATTTTTGAATAAGTACTACCATACTAAGGCTGAAAATTGTAAAATAGTGTCATTTTTTTTATTTATTTTAATAAACTACAACCAACTTCATTAATCTTGGGGCAGTACATCAACATTATATAATTTTAAAGTCTTTGTTAACTCTAATACTTGGATGATAAAGCATCAACTCTAAATGCCACACAAAACAAAAAAATATTCATATTTTTTTTTTTCAATTATATAAAAATTCTTCACGTTAATATACACACTTATGTAACAGTTTTTTCAACTTTTTATACCTAAGTACCACAAATACATTTTGAAAAAATACTTAAAAAAAACCTTAAAACAGTAATAATGACAAAATATAATGTAATACCGCTGGCATGTTATTTGCTAATTATATGTGTTGATAAATTAATTGTGTAAATGAAGTAACTTTTTATATTTTTCTTTTAAATATTTATCAATAAATATATAAAACTTTTTAGAATTTGAATACTTTTTCATTTGAAAATTAAGTAAAGATGTAGATAACATCATGTTTGGTTAATTAAAACAAATGTGTTTATTGGCAATACAATTTAATTTTTCTTTTGTTTACTAAATTTCTAAAATATGAGCATATTTTTAAATTTGTATCTATAATAAACTTAAAAAAAATATATATATTTGGTCAATTTTTATAACTTAAAAATTAATAAAAATTATAAAACTTCAATGTAAATAAGTACTATTTTTTATATTATAAAATGCTCAAAGATAAGGTTTATAGTTTCCAGTTAAGATGAAAAGTTTTATTAATCCTTAAGAAAAACTTATTTTTCTGGATTTTTTGATGTTTATTATATTTGTAAATTGAATTTCATTCATGAATTAAGTATTATTAAATAATTGTATATATAGATTTCTAAAATATATTTTGAATGTTTATCTAAATATTAATTATTATACTGTTATTATAAATGATGAAATATGTTACAAATAATTATTTAATCCTTACTAACATAACAATTAAAATCTATTTTATGCCAGCAGTTTATTATTATAATTATTTATTTAATTAATTGAAATTTAGTTTTTCAATGTCTAGTATTGTAAATCAATTTGTATTGATTATTAAATGTTAATATTTATGGTGTTAATAATAATTTATTTTAATAAACATGTTTTATATTCTTTCTGGAATAAATAAATTACTTTGAATGATATAAATTAGTGATTGTAGGAACTATAGTATTCAATTGTAGCAAAACCAAATATTATTGGAACATAAATAATATATATTATAAATGATAAAACATGTTTAAAACATAAAATGGATATGAATATTATGAGGACGGGTGCAGCCACTGGTGTAGGCGGGAAATTGGGAAGATATGATATAGATGAGAATTTAATGTATATCTGTAAGTAACGATAAAATGATTCTGAGTGGAGTTCAGTTCATAATGATGCTTTGTCAACAATATATATATGTCATTTTATAGTAAAATAGTTAAAAATGTTTTATATATTTTCTTTAATAAAATTTGTTTAATATTGTATAGATTTTCAAAATTTTTCCAGATTTTCCCATGTTTTATCCCAGTTTTCCACATTTACTGAGAAAACTATTGGGATAATAAAAAAAAAACCTCTCTAAAGTACTTTCCTAGTGAAATGTCCTTTTATAAACATTGCTATCATTAAAAGTTGAAGCAAAATTTCTGGTAGAAAACTGCACAGGAAAAAAGGTCATAATATAACTAATACCTGACGATTTATTAACTATAACCAACTACCTGTGTATTATAAAATCGTAGATCTGTAGAAATATCAAGTTAGGGTATATTATCAATAGTGAAAAAGAGCTAATACTGGGGATGGGTGCGGACACTGTTGTAGGTGAGATGTTGGGAAGGTGGGATATGTAAGGTTATTTCATTTATATGTGTAAGCAACCATTGCTGACGAAAGATGATTTCGAGCGCAGTTAGGTTATAAATAATTTGAAGTGCCTTTTTTTTCACCTAACCTTCCTACATTTTTTCCTGATTATTATGAAAACGAATTTAAAAATTAAAAAAACCAACTGCATCATTAAAAACAAGATTAATAATTCAACAAAAAAGGTCTCTTGTCGTTTTTCAATTAGAGTCATATTTGTGGTAGAAAACGTGTTAGGTTCTTATTTTAAATACAGTTTCGAATATCAAAAAATGATCTATGTATTTATAAGTAGATAAAATGAACTTTCAGAAAAGGTGCTACACTTCTACATCGAAGGAAGTTTTTTATAATAAGTGGTCTACAGTATAGAAAAATGAAAAAAAAGTCGTCCAATGTAAGTATTATTACCAAGTTTCAAGTCTCTACGTATACTTATAATTTACCAAATTACAGCAAAAAAACTCCTAAAAATTAAAATTCCTTAAAAGTTTAAAAGTGACTCAAAATTTTTGGCGATAATACTGTAAGAAAGTAAATCAAAAAGGCAACAAAAAAGGTGATTTCTTGAATCACAAGGAAATCTTGTGATTTTTCGATTAAATCGTTTTTTTATGGTAGAAAACGTCCATGTTTTTATAAAATAATGAAATCGTGAAATTGTACGTTTTTTCCCATTTAAGTGCTTTTTTTCAAAGAATGGCTTCGACAATTAAAACATGACCTTTTTAAAGTACCATCTAGACAATTTGAGCTTTCAGAAAAGTTAAGAATTGTAAAAATCGTAGAAAGTTTACTAGGAAAAATAGATTTGATGCAGTCCTTAAAAACTGGAGTGATTATTTGATTGATTATCCAAAATTTTTGGATTATATTAGTACAATTCTTGGTGAATTTTTTTTTACATTGTCAAGACTAATTTTAAACTATGTATCTTTGCATTTAAATAAATGTATTTTCTTTTGTAGTTCCATTGTTAATGTCTGAGACTGCTGGTTTTAAATTGAAAATTTGAGGAATTCTTGTATATCTGTATGCCCTGATAATTCCTGTATTCTCTTTATTAAAATATTACAAAAAATTAATTTAAGCTTAAAAAAACCACATTATATGAAAGAAGTAAGCTGTTTTGTGATTAATAGTTACTTTGATATTTATTATTATGATATTAGTAGACACTATACATATTGCACAAATTATCATAGTTTATAATACTTTTAATACTGTTTATGGGATAGGAGTTACTTATTTTAGTTAATTATTTTTGCTTCTTTCATTCTTAACACAGACTCTTTATATACACTGTATAGATGCAAATTGATTAATAATACACTATTTAAAGTGATAGTAAATAAATTCTTAATGTTTAATTTATATAGGGTTAGATTTATACTGTTAGTTAACTAACCATAAATTAATTTAATCTGTAAATTGAAGTCCTGATTAAATATCTAAAAGTTTCATTCCAATTTAATTTTACAATTTTTTTTGTAATTTGATTTATAATATGATATGAACTGAATACCTACATGTTATGTGTTATAATATGATTGTTGACATTAGTTAATAAGTATTGTTAAATGTTTTAGTATAGCAATATGATAGTTTTCAACTCTTATATATTACGCTTAAGTTATATCATATACTGCATTGTTAATAAATAGTGTTTACATAATTAGGACATTGGTGGAATTATATGGATGTGTTATAAATGAAGAATGTCAGATTATTTTCCTCTTGAAAAATTCTTGTCTGTTAATCACATAAATAAATATTTTAAAAATTATGTAAGTTTAAATATTTATTATTAATTTTATTAAATTGAAATATTAATTATTACATTTTAGGAAGTTGGATTATTTCTTTTATCTATAACTATCTACAATAAAATGATGACCTTTGATCGCAGATATCTGAGTGATAAAATGTGTTCTTGGATACATGTAAGTAAAATTAATTTCTAAAAAAGTTAAATAATCAAACACAGTACTTTTTTTGATTTGAGTTAGGAATTTCTGGAAAAATTTTACTCACTAGGTGTCAAAATGTTTTTATATATTTTGGTGTTTGACTCCATTAAAGAAATACCTAGTTACAGTGGCGTACAAAGAAAAGGGAGGGGGGTTATGGAGTAAAAACCACTCCCGAAATGTCTTAATTAACTACATTTTTTAAAT